AGAGAGAGAGAGAGAGAGAGAGAGAGAGAGAGAGAGAGAGAGCAGTTCTAAGACAGGGACAGCAAGTATGAGACCTGGGCAAAGGGGCACAAAACCAGAAAGAACAGCACAAAGAATAACCAGACTCCTCTGGGAAGGTACATATGGTGCCCACATCCGCCCCCCCCCCCCCATCTCCTCTCACCAACCAGATACAAATGCAGTCTGAAGATCTTTGTCTTTCTGTTCTCCTTCCCTCACTGCAAAGATTCTACCTCCAGACCTTATGCCTGGTTCTGAGTCAAGACACTCACCTCAGCCAGGGAGGGGCTTGAGGGTGCTGTGGGTTTGAGAGCTAGTTTTTGATTTAACCCTGGCACTCTTGCCAGGGTATGTTGCTGTCAAGCCTGACAGAGTAGGAGCATGTGTTAATGGAGAAGCTAGGAGCAAGGGCTCTAGACTGCCTGGATTTGAATCCTCGGTCTGTTACTTGTTAACTGGGCATTTTTGGTAAATTACATAAATTTTCTGTTCCTTGGTTTTCCCATCTATAAAAATGGAAATCTGGTTCTAATCTCACAGAATTAAGGATTAAATAATACATGTAAAGCATTTAGCACAAGTGGCTGGGGCATTGGATACCTCAGCATCCAAACCATTTTGGTTACTTTTATTATTACTATTTTGAACTCAAGTGATTGGGCTCAGTACAAATAATTTGAGAATGTGAAGAAATTTCATTCTCAGTGAGAATGTTAATTTTCCTCTACCACCAACTTCACCCAAAACTCTAAATCAGCTTTTGTGCATTTGCCTGACCTTGGAGTCACAGCAGTGACTACAGGAGATTGTGGAATCACCATGTAATGAAAACAATTCCCAGAAGAGAGAAGGGAAGGCAAAATAGTGTCTTTTTGTAAAAAAAGGATAATAATAAGACTTTCACACTCAGAAGCTGCTTTCTTGAGATCAGTTAGAATTGAGTATCTCATCTTTTGTAAATCAGAAGGTATATTTAAAAAATTGTAAAACCTCATATTAGGTATGTAGTTATGTATAATTAAGCTCACTCTTTATGCATGGATGTGATTTCTATCAGTATAACTACATGCCCAAGGAAAATCATTATCAGAAGTGCACTGAAGTGCCTAGGGCAACTGAAAATCAGAATTTTGCCCACTCAGCTATTTTACAAATTATACACCTTTGTCAGTAGGTGCTGCATTTGCCATCATATTAACAAATAGCCCTCTCCTGCAGATCACTAAAACAATTATGTGCTCATTCACATAAAGAAAAATAAAGCTTAACATAATTACCTATCTCCTTTAAAAACAATAGTGGTTGGGGGAATATAGAGTTATTGTTTATTGCATACAGTTTGGGATGATGAAAAAGTTTGCAGATGGATGGTGACGATGGTGGCACAATGGGAACATATTTAATGCTACTGAACTGTTAAAATGGAAATTTTATGTTATATATTATTTTACCACATTAAACACTCATATAATAAGAAGAGATTATTGGTTGCCAAAGAAATGAGGGAAGTCTCTTCCCCCCCCAAAAAAAATCAACTCCAAAAAATCTCTGCCCCAAAAAATATCTTAATCTTTTATTAAGATTAATTTAAAATATTAAAAAATGTAAATATTTTCTTGCACTGGCTTTGATGTAGAAGTGTCCAAGAAGTAACACTCAAAATTTCATAATTGAATTTGGTGAGATATGGGGATTCAGATCATGGGTGAAAACATAAGTAAAGGCTTTGGAATCACTGGCTCTGTCACTTGAACAAATCTCTCTGAACTTAGTTTCCTCATCAATAAAGGGGATTATAAGAGAACTCATCTCAGGTTTGTCCTCAGGAGTCAATTCTTTATTTTATTTACTTTTTTTTCTGCAGCACTGGGGACTGAACCCAGGAGAACTTTACCACTGAACTACATACATCCCCAGCCATTTTATTTTTACTTCTTTTGAGACAGGGTCTCATTAACACTGGTCTCAAAATTGTGTTCCCCTTGTCTCAGACTTCTGAGTTTCTAGGATTACAGGCATGTTTCACTGCACCTGGCTGCTAAGGATTCAATTCTTGACTGCATATAAAATTTTTTTTAACAGTGCCTGACACATAATAAGTGTTCAGAAAGTGCTGGTTATTAATTTACAGAATTTATGTGAGAGTTCAATGAAATGACTTATGCATAGAGTACACTATTTGGAATATAATACTCAATAAATAGCTAGCTATTATTTTATTAACCATTAATCTTTTCCTCAGATTGTGAGGCCAGGGAGCCTACGAGTGAATAGGTAAACTGACTCTAGTTTAGTTCTACTCTTCCATCCAGTAGGTAGAAGCTGCTCCCTCTAGCTAGTCCACTGAGACCCTACACACCTTGGTTCTCCATAAGGTCATATGTAGGTAACAAAAATTGCTCCTGCCTCAGGCCCTGTCTTTCTGTCTTTAGCAACATCAGCACCACCACATGGGGGTGGAGAGGAATCCTCATGCCTACATAATGACAGTCCCCAATGCAGGACATGGCACAAAGGAAGTGCTTAATATTATTGAATGAATTAGGGAGTAAATGTATGAATAAAACATAAAATAACATGGGCAGCAGGCCTACCCCTTCTTTTATCATTAGTCTCCAAAATAATGAAACACATACCCAAAACACCATAGGAAAAACTATAGAAAGATACAGACCAAAATATTAGTAGTAGTTACCATTAGGTAGAAGAAGAGAAGATGAATTTTGTCTCTTTGTTATATTTAAAAAAAAAAATTCCCAGTGAATTTATATGTTATTTAAAAAGCAAAAGCAATAATGCTTTTTAAAAATAAAAGAGGAGGTTATTTTTATAATGGGCATTCATGTCTCATCTATGTGAGATTACAATAACCAATTTTGGCGTGGGCATTTCTTTTATTTTTTTTTTCCTGATAAGTTTTATTAATCCATAGGCATTCAGTTTTTTTCAAGGACATTTTAAAAGAAAATGTAAGCTTCACATAACTTTCCGTTACAGTTTGACAGAGGAAGTCAAATTTGATATTTGGATGATATCTGACTTTAGTTACACAGGCACATTCAACTAATGATTTCTCACACTAAAGCAGTAAAAGAGAGAATAAGGCAGAATGGCAGGATTCCCAAATAGTTCACAGTCAAGCACCAAGCCCTCAATGTCAAAATCCATATCCCAGTCCAGGTTGATTTCCTTCCATTTATAAATCATGTCTTAATTTTGCAGTCTTTTCCAGGCAAGCTTGATGAGTAGTATTAGGTCAGTGTTTCTTGTCTCCATGATGTCAGATGACATCCAGCCCATCTGCACATGGACACGTGCTCCCCACTTAAGTACTCTAAAATGAATCTAGGTTAGACTTCCTGTATGTTCTATATGTACTCTCCTTTATTTA